TTTATATATAATTTATCTATTTTTAGTAATTATTTGTGCACATTTTATGCTGTGTAATATGTGCACATTGTGCACATAAATTTTACACACTGAATATAACATTTATCTTTATTATTTTATTAATAATTTTATTTTATAAATTATATTAAGGTTTAAGATTAAATAATAATATTATATTAAATAAATTATATAATTAATATTTTTATTACTTTTAAAATAAATTTATTTAAATATTAATAAATAATATAATTAATATTAAAAGATTTATATAAATAAATATTAAACTATAAAATAAAATATAATATAAATTAAACAATATATAAAATATAATATATTAATTAAATTAAACAAGTAATATATAATATAAATAACAAATTAAATGTATATTAATTAATATAATTAATATAAGTGTTTATATTTAATTGATTTTATTATTAACATTATCTTTTCAATTATGATTAATTGAATGTTAATTTTTATAATAATAAATAATTTTGGTTTTAATTTTAAAAACTTATATATATATATATATATTATATATATATTTATAATTAATTTTAATTAATTAAAATACTAAAATGCTGATTTTATAAATTATATTAATTAAATAAATAAAAAGGCGGATTTTTAAAGTTTTTTAATCATTAACATTAATATTTTTACTCATGAATATTTTCAACTATATTATATTTATTATATTTATGATATTATTAAATAAGGTTATTTTTTGATTTTATTAATTAGTATCTATATAATAAATATTTTTTTTATCAATCATTTATTTTACTATATCAAATAAAATAATTCATTTTAAGATCAGTATAATTTTAATAATGATTCACATATAAAGAAAATATTAGTAAAATTATTTGTAATTTGGTTTTAAAAAAATCATTTACAATTTATTGCATCGATAATAATTATAACGTTTAATAAGTTTAGGCAATTTAAATTTTCAAACAATATTATAATAATATCGGTTATCTAAAAAAAAAAAAAAAAACCACTTTATTGCCATTGATTCAACTCGACTTTGTATTAAACAAAGTTTAATTATTAAACAATTATTTTAAAAAGAAAGGTTCTTTCTCTTCTTCTTCACTAGGTAGAATAGAAACATTTTGAATATAAAGCCATTTTTATATAAGCGGTTTGCTGTTACGTTACTATGTCTCGGGATAGCAATTTCGATATTTAGCTGTGAAATGGTATGCACTTATCAACAAGTGAAAATTCGAATTAAATAATTCTAGAAATCAATGCTTATTCTTTTCAATAGAATGGTTCTTACAAAGCATTAGCTTCGAGAATACAGTAACACGCGAATAAAATACGAAATAAATTAAAGAAAAATTCAAAATTCAAAATATTAATTCCTACAATCAATTTTAAAAATCTTAAAGTTTTATTAAATATCGTATAAAAAATTTGTGAATTCAGAAATTTTGCCAATAACCTTAATTCTTATAATAATGTTCTTAATTAACATAGAGAAAAATGTAAAAAGTAAAGTAAAAGAAGAAAAGAAAATAATGCCTGCCAATTTTGCCAAAGAAATTAAATATTCAAATTGTTTGATTAAAAGGAATTTTCTACGTTCTTTAGAACCTTTGATTCTAGAAATTCTAATATCGATTTCCTCATTTATTATCATTGAAATTATTGTTGTTGTTGCTATTACAATGTTGAGTGGTAAAATTAATTAATTCTTCTAAAGTATTATTCGACAAATCATTCCCTAATTCGCAGAGAACGTTATTAGGAGCATTTTTTTTATTGTTATCATTAATGGAATTTGAATGAGTAGTTGGTGAATTTTTATTTATGATGTTTTGAACCGTGTCATTCGCCAACATTTCTAATTGTTCACAATTCAAATGTGACAAATCCATCTTTTTTTTTGGGATGATTCTTATAGAAATTTTTAACAATGTCTTCAATGGTGTATAATTTACGTGAAATTAATTCTAAACAGTTGTCGGATGACATTGTGAATAGTATAAAAAAAAAAAATAATAAAGAAGAAAGTAATGGGCTTTGAATTATTAATACCGTAATAAATTCAGTTTAGCGAAAGATAAATTTTTTAACGGAAAAATTAACTTTCAAAGGAATATATTCTGCTCTTTTATAATGAAGAACCTTCATTAGTCATTTATGTGATACATCCCATTACATTGGAATTTCATCCTTTTACTTAATACGAACCCGATACTCTAAAGTATTATGTGACACTATCGTGACAATGTGTGGAAGTTAAATACCAAGAGCAACCAGAAAATATAATCGGATATTTGTATGACTTAGTTTAGAGAATTTATTGAATTTGTCATTAAATTGAAAGAGATGCATGCATTATTTATCGCCGATATTCCTACAATATGAACATATTCCTTATTGTAATGAAGCACAATAATGGAAAAAGTCATCAGATAAAATACGCGCTAAAATTTCATATCACGATAACATATAAATTCATGCAGTAAATGTCCATTATTAAATTTAAGCAAATCAATCAATAACTACGCGTAGACTTATAAATTTGATTTATTGGATTAAATTTATCGGCCGAAGGTAAATTTTAAAGTTACACTCATGAACTCATGACTATATGTGACGCGTAAAATTTTGGGGCATTTATTTTAATCAATTATTAATAATGGTGTTACACTAACGTTTGAGTGGCCCTTATCGAAATAGACCTCTAAAGACCTAATACCATGTACAACATATGTATTGGCTAAAAAACGGTTAGACAGAATCGTTTATTTGTTTGTTTATAACGCTTTTTCATTATTGATGAACTCAAATATCATTCAGAATGATTCTTTGAACTTCTTTTAAGGATTTTCCCGGGAAAGTGCTTATTCTAATTTTTCACATTTGAAGAATTGGTTGATCATACATTGTTTTATTACTAAAAGATATTAAAAAAAAAAAAAAAAATCTTTAATTAATACATGATGTGTCGCATGAAAATTCTGATCCGGATAATCTGACAATCAATAATCTGAATATAATTCTCAATCTTCGGATCTTCCTGAAATACCGCGGATTTAGAAATACCAGTGTGGAAAAATATTTCCGAAAGAAGATAGTAGCACCCAATTATATCGCGTACTTGATATTCAATTGAAAAGATTTTATCCCACTTACGATGTTCGAATTATAAATCAATTCCTTTAAGGGTAAACGGTTATAATACAATTTGGATAAAAGAATAGCAAATAAATTCCTGGATCTTAAAAATTATAACGAATATATCGATATTAAAAGGATTATAATATTTAGGTAAACAATTTAAAAAGATCCTTGTCAACACCTTGTTTAGATTATCATAAATTGTCTTTAATGTCACACTGCATATTTTGTTACACTAAGATTTCATTGACGAAATATTAATAAAATGAATTTAACAATAATACTAGAGCAACAGGAATCGTTAACCCTGTTCGGACCTGATCGACCGGAAATTGAAATCAAAAATTATTGGGTACTGAAACGATCAGGTGAGCGATCAACACTCACCTTGATCGATTTTTAATAAATTAATTCAGATTAGCTGATTTTATGAGATAACGATAAACGCAATTTTTTTTTCTAACTCAAATTCTACCTTTCGTTCAATTGCCTCAAAACCACAAGAATTTTTTATACAAAATCCAGACATTATAGCTGTAACAAGTTTACATACTTTTAATTCATTACCACCGATCGAACCTACTACTAATACTACTCCAACACCCGCTG